CTTTCCCTCTCTTTCTTTCCCTCCTTCTTTCCTTCTCTTTTTTCCCTCCTTCCTTCCTGCACAGATCTGCGCGTCCCCCCCCCAGCTAGCAATTCAAAACAGTCCAGTGGCACCTTTAAGGCCAAGGTTTATTCAGGTACAAGCTCTCCCTCCTCTGCTAGGGCAGACCTGCGCGTCCCCCCCCCCAATAGCTAACAATCCAAAACAGTCCAGTGGAGCCTGAGCAGTGGGTGTTGCCTTCTGACACACTTCTGGTGATGTCAGGGTGTGTGGCATATGCAAATAAGTTATACGAATGGGTTATGCTAATGAGCTCCTGCACCTCTTTTTCTACGAAATGACCCGTGTGTGTGTGTGTGTGTTAAAACACTGGAGTATAAAACATAGTAAGAGTTAGCTTTTTAAAAAATCACCCACCAGCTATTGTTATAAAGTAACATGAATACAGTGAAAGACTGAGGCCATGTTTTGCAACAGAATATTAATTTAGTTTGTTGAAACAAAAACAGCAGCACAGAACAACTTCCCTGGCCCTCACTTCTCACCGACTTCCACCAAATGCTGCTCCTGGGGACCCTGGGGAACAACATGAACAAGGATTGGTAGCGTGGGGATTGGTGGAAGCTGCCGGTTTAGTTTGGCTTCAACCTGCTGAAAGGAAGACTAATACAGAACAGTCTCACCTAGGTTTGATATTAAGAGAATTCTGTTATGGCATGGAAAACAAGTGACAGAAATCCATCAACCAATTGAAAGTGGAACCATCCAAAAACCTGATTTTGAGGGGAGGGGAATCAATTCAGAATTTGCAGTATACCTACTGGCCACATTTAGATTTCTAATTTGCATCCCCATCCCACACTCTGCTGCCAAAACATACTCTCCAGCAAAACAGAATAGATTTTCATAACATTTCTTGACATTTCCTCTCTCTTCCCTAACAAACTACTGTTAGGTGTACAAATAATGAAAGGAATAGTGAAGGTACTTTGACAGGTCTGGGAAAGAAACAGGAAACAATGGTCAAAGATTGTTGATCAAAGAGCTGATTAAGATGTTTAGAGAACTATATCACTTAATCCTGTTTGGCTCCAAGTCAAACTTGTGGAGCAACTAAATTGACATCAGCAGTATCAGCATGCCAACACACAGGTCCCAAATGAATCTAGATGCATGGCAGGACTTAAACCTAAGGCTCTTTCCGCAAGTGACTACTAAACCAATTTTTACACTTTCCCATATTATAAACTTAAACACAAAAACCTACATTAGAAGAAGAAAAGTTGGCTTTATACCCCACCCTTCACTCGCCCTTCTTCTCTCCACAACAGACACCCTGTGAGGTAGGTGAGGCTGAGAGAGCTTTGAGTGAACTAGTCTTGAGAGAACAGCTCTGAGAGAACTGTGACTGACCCAAGGTCACCAGCTGGCTTCATGTGGAGGAGTGGGTAATCAAGCCTGATTCTCCAGAATACAGTCCGTCAGTCTTAACCACTACACCAAACTGGCTTCATTAGCTTGAACAACGCTTCAAAATAATTTCCTTCTGCTCTTTGCATTACATTAAGCAAGTGACTCATTCCCCGTTTTAGCTCTAATTCGCATTTTTATCTCTAATTGGAAAAATGTATCCCTGTTAGAAACAAGGTAAGAACAAAACAGTTAACCTGCCAATTTTCAATTCACACGATCACATTAAGAAACTTATCATGCAACAGCTACACCATGGAGTTGCCACATGGCTTCCCAATGGAAACAATGGCCCTGTACTAGCACCTCCTCTCGTTCCTTTCACCAACACATCATGCATCAAGAAACTGTTGTTCCCAGCCCCCTTTGTTTCATCAGCTTATGCTCATTGATTCAGGGAAACTCGTAATGTAATTATGTCACATCACGTATTTAAGACACTTACCCCCCCCCTTTTTTCTCTCATTAGATTGACAAAGCTGCTTACAGGAAACAGGAACTTACAATAGAACCATAAACAAATAATACTTGTTTTATGTATTATTATATTGATGTAAGAACCACGCACACAATCCAATCAGCAGCAGTACAAAACCAAAGCATCAATACAAAAAAAAACCCCATCACCTCATTCCAAAGGCCCTCCAGAACAAATAAGTGTTAACAAGACTACTGAAAAGCCAGGAAGAAAGGGGCTGAATGAACTTCAGGAGACAAAAAATTCCACAGTCTGAGGGGGGCAGTTAAGGAAGCCCTAACCTCACCTCTAATGAGGCAAGCTCACAAAACAAGATACTACCAGCCAATGTTCCCTCTAAGCTGTGGAATCTTGTGAGCAAAAGTTCTACTTTGTGAGCTACGGGCATTAAAGTTGTGAGCGAGCAATTTGGCTACTGCATAAATTATTTGCTCTGGAGACATCCTTCCTGAGCCAAGACAAATATGTGTGAGCCAGAGGCTAAAAAACTGTGAGCTGGCTCACACTAACTCAGCTTAAAGGGAACACTGCTACCAGCTAGTCTCAAGCACAGTCAGTCACATTTATTTATTCAGCATAGTCATATGGGTGGAGAGAGTTCTTTCAGGTACTGTGATCACAAATCATTTTGGCTTTAAACATAAAAGCCAGCACTTTAAATTGGGAGTCACTGCAGTTGCAGTTGACCCAATACTGACCTCATCAACAGGGGGGTGGGGGTGGGTGACTCACCAAAGTTTATACCAACTGAAAGTTCCACTCTTCAAAGGCATCGCCATGTACAGCATATTACAAAAGTCCAATCTGGACATTACTGGGCCATGTATTTTGTCTGATTATTAAAAGGCAAAAGAGGTAAATGGGAAGCTATTGCTGTAGGCCAATGGGCTTCAACCCATGCACCAGAACCCTCAGGCAGTTTTGGAGTCCCACCTTATAAACCTCTTATAGAGTTGCCAATATTGTTGTGTGTTTTTTTTTTAAAAAAGATCCAATGCTGATCTATCTGCATAAAGAATGCTAAAGGGCCATGGCTCAGTGGTAGAGCATACAGAAGGTCTCAGGTTCAACCCCTGTCATTTCCAGTTAAAAGGACAAGGTAGGAGGTGATGTGTAAGACCTCCACCTGAGACCCTTTAGAACTGCTGTCAGTCTGAATACACAATACTGAACATGATGGACTGATGGTCCGATTCAGTATAAGGCAGCTTCATGTGTGTTCATGTGATATCATGTATCTTGCTTCTTTTTGCACACACGACTTAGAGAAGCAGCCAGGTAGCAAGGCAAGTTCACTCAATGGTGGAAAGGATTCTTTTTTTGAAAAGGTAGGTTCAAAGGCCCTGTTTCCACCAAAGCAATTCCGGGCCTTCTCTCTCTTCCCTCAGCCTGGCCATCCACCAGTCCTCCATGGACACTTTCAGCATGGAGCCAGTTTGGTGTAGTGGCTAAGTGCGTGGACTCTAATCTGGGAGAACCGGGTTTGATTCCCCACTCCTCCACTTGCACCTGGCTGGATGGCCTTGGGCAAGCAGCCAAATTGCTCACTCACAACTTTAATGCCAGTAGCTCACAAAGTAGAATTTTTGCTCAGAAGACTCCACAGCTTAGAGGAAGCATTGGTCCTATGCTTTAAGGCATAGGCATTTGTTTACTCTGATATAT